AGAGAAATTTGATGACTAGTATAGATCATTTGTTTAATCCACGCGTCAGTTGCAAGTTTGCTACAAGTAAGTAAGTTACCGTATAATTAAGACAATTTTTAGGAACAAGGAGATGAAAGTAATGACACTGGAAGCAAAATAAGTCCTGTGGAAGAGGCTGAAGAAACAAATTTAAACGCTGCATTTGCTTTTCTGGAAGTTTCATCAGATCCAACTTCACGACGCGAAGAGGTTGAAATCACCTTGGATAGAACCGTTTGTAGCATTGAAGACGAAGATCAGGAAGTCAGTTTTTGGATAGATGAAGAACAAAGTCATCAGGAAAGTCGCATAGTTTTGAATGAAGCCATTTCACGTATCACAGAGGGAAGAGTCAGTCAATAGCATCGTCTCTCTGTTCGAACTGGGAAAGTACATCAAGCTCACAAAAATGTCATTATTTGCGAAAAGTACGCCAGGTTTTCTCTGCGGTTCTCGCAACAATTGCTCCAGATCAAGAAGATGAAGTATTTGAAGCTCTGCTGCGTTCTTCAGGCTATGACATTCAAGAGAAAACCCGCGATGATGTTAAGGAAAATGCTTTCAGCAACGAAATTCCAATTTTGCTTGAAGCTTACAACCAATCTGAAAGTCGTCATACTCGACTACAAATTCTATCTATGTTTTCCAGACATTTTTCGAAACAGGAACTCCGGGAGATGATTCCAGGTCTTAGTAAATGGCAAATCGATCGTGCTCGGCGTCATGCCGCTAAAGAAGGACCAGGGCATCAAGTGGTACCGATACCGATAAAACGAACACGCCTCGATCCCGTAAAGACAAGCCACTTTGTGACCTTTATCACCAGACCAAATTTCCTTCAGGACGTTGCTTATGGCACTAAGGAACTGAAGCTTGATTCGGGAGAAAAAATCACTATTCCAAACGTAATCAGGACAATGGTTTCCTCCCGGTTAATAAAACAATACATCTCGCTTTGCCAAGAGATAGGCTTTGAACCTGCAAGTGAACGAACTTTGTATAGGATAATTGACGTTTGTTCCGCTTCCAAGCAGAAATCAATGCAGGGGCTGGATTATTTTTCAACGGAAGGAGCACAAGCGTTTGAAACCCTCCAAATTGACGTCAATACTCTTGAGAAAGGAGGCGCTGATTCCACTTGGGCTAGGGAGATGTCTAAAACGCTGCAGGAGACCAAAAGATATTTGAAAACCGATTAAAAAAGTCACGTGGGACAAGAGGAGAGATGCGCGGATCACTGCACGAATTTTAGTCTCAGTGACCCTCAGAACGAGGCCTTCAGGCAGCAGTGCGACCACATTCACAATGAATTATGCAACTATTGCTGCAAACTGGATGAAGTTCTCAGTAACATTATGAACATGATAAATTGTCCAAATGTGACTCTCACAGACCAACAGCAGAGTCAAGTGGCGTTTGACCTTACCCATGCAGTGGAGGCAATCCACGATTGGAAAGCTCATCTTCTTCGATTCATTAACCAAGAACAAGCTAAGCAGGACGTTCTCAGTGCATTGACTGACGACAGCGTTTTAATCATAATGGACTGGGCCATGAAGTACCTTCCGAAAAGATACAGAGAACAAATGAGCGACTTTTATGGTAAACGGGGGAAGAGTTGGCATGTTGCTTGTGTTATTTTCAGGTCTGGTAGTGAAAGTCACTCGGTAGAAACCTTCGTTCATGTCTTCGATACTTGCACCCAAGACTGGTTTTCTGTTGTTTCTATTCTGGAGCACCTCCTTTCAACTATTAAAGAAGAGCACAAAAATGTATCGACGGCTTATCTTAAATCTGATAACGCAGGCTGCTACCACAATGCCTCATTAATTACTTCTCTCAAATCTATTGGAGAAAGAGCAGGAATTCACGTTCGAAGATTTGACTTCTCTGACCCACAGTCAGGGAAGGACATTTGTGATCGCAAAATAGCACCGATGAAAGGGCATATCCAGAGATGGGTCGATGAAAGGCACGATGTAATTACCGCAGGTGACATGAAGGAAGCGCTGGATTCTCATGGTGGAGTGCGTGGATGTAGGGTGGCAGTATCGGAGGTTGATATTTCAAGGGCGAGTGAGACGGTAGAATGGAAAGGGATAAGTACGTTGTTCAATTTTGAGTTTTTAACTACAGGAATCAAGGCGTGGAAGGCTTATGGAGTCGGTGAGGGACAGCTGTTTTTATATGAGAACCTAACTCAGTGTCTGCAAGGGCCAACATGTCTTCGCGTCATTATCCCTTTTACGACCAACAAGGCAAAGGCTCAGCCAAGTTTGATGTCGAAAACAAAAGGTCCTGTAATATGTGAGGATCTTTTTATGTGTGAAGAGGAAGGATGTGTCGCCTTCTTTCCTACCCAAAGCGATCTACAAGTTCACATGGACACTGGGCGACATATCATGGTTATGGAACGTGAAAGTACTTACGATTTGGCACGAAAAAAGTGGGCAGAAAAAGTGACAGGAGTTCAACTATCGCACTTCGCTGGAAAAGCAGGAGTAACACAAGAAGGCAGCGGCACGGTCACTTTATCGAGGAAAGAACCACTCCAGGGCTGGGCTTTAAAGAAGCAAAGGAAAGGCCAGCGAGCAACCCAGAATGTGAAGAACTTCCTGCTTGAAAAGTTCAATAGTGGAGTAGAAGCAGGTAACTCGACTAACAAATTTTTCCGCTTTACCCTTGCGGTTTGGTTTCTATTTGAACTACTGCTTTTAAACGTAAGGTAAATCAAGTGTATAGAGAGCAAGTTGAAATAAAAACCAATCATGGCCAGAAATTGAGGACAAAATGGCGCTGGAGCATGCTCGTCATTTACTTTTCCCGTTCTTTAAATATCGCGACCATATGAAGGATGAATGGGGAGAAAAGAAACTTTTAAGGATAAATAAAGTTAGACGAAGAATCGCTCACCTCCACACGTCTAAACCTTCGCAAGGCGATCGTGGCTTTCAGTCATGCTAATTTGGCAGTGTCAAGCTCCCAAAGTTGGTTCGTGAGTCACCATAAAAAGATGGCTTTCCTTGCCATACAAGAGTCTGTAATATTGCCTAAGCGCTTCTCTTCAAGCAAGAAAAAAGGTAAATTAGATGTCGGTGTTTCCTCCTTTCCCACGTCCTGTTTCTTGAGGGATATGTTTATCTTCATTTTTGTAGGGTTTTAGAGGCCTAACTTCTTTGCTGAACCAGTTCGTTTTTTCCGTGAAATATAGCAATTCCATAGAGTGAATCTCTGCGCCCTTAATGCACGAAGCGACCGAAAAAGAAGGCACTTTGGAGACTTTTTCAAACGATAACTTCGATCAGCCGCCATTTTCAAAACAGAGAGGTTACCAAGCCAGAGTGACACAGGGAGCCCCGTTTTGTCACGATCGGACGATCACAGGAAAGTAACAGCCGAGAGTTGATGCTTGTCTAATAGGGACTCAGGGTAGATTTTGCACAGCTTGGACTTTAGAACCAGTGTTAGGTTTCGCATTTATTTGTTTTTACATATGTCAAGTAGAATTACTTGAGGCTAGTAAATTGTTAATCTACAGCACGGTAAAAAGTATACGTTCGCTTCCCCGCCATTTTGCAAATGTATAAATCCTCATTAGCTATTGAAAATCCCTAAAAATGAGCCTACGGTCAAAACCGCTGGCTGTCCTCGATTTCTGGCCATGCCTCGTAAATTTCTGCCCAATAAAATACCCCATGCAGTTAAAGAAAATACGCAACTGAATTAAGCCCGTGAGGGGAACGTGTTTTAAGTTGAGTTCAGTCCTGTCAGTTCAGTTACAGCTCAGTCCTATCTCAGTGCATCGTGACGAAAGTCTTTAAAAATATGATTAAGTGTGTTCTTATTACAGGAAACAAAGAAGACCCAGTCAAAGCAGCAAATGAAATGTGCTCACTAAGGGATGATAGTGGAAAACTTCGTTTTGCTCCAGAGGAGTGGCGAACAGCAAAACAAATCAGCAGTTACTTTTCACGACTCGCTGCTGCACAACGTCAAAATAAGGCTGTTGGAAAACTCCTGGATGAAGCTGAAAACATTGACGAAAACGACTTGCAGACTTGGGACAACGAGCAAAGGCTGAGGGAGTTACAAGAATCATTATACGATCAATTGGATTTGCGTCATCCCATCATTTATGATGGTCACGACATTTGTAGTCTTGCTAGGCGGGGAAAATTACAGGCAAAGTTTCAGGTCGACCAACTAAAAGAGATCTGTGACAAGTTTGGGGTAGTTATCGAAGGGCCTGTTGGTCGTAAGAAATCATATATTACTCCCATTGAGGCCCTTGTTAAAACGTGCAGCTGCTCTAAATAGGTTTTTTCTCCTTTACCCCATCCAAATCCCTAAATAGCTCTTGTCTTACAGGTACCACGCGCACTTGTTTGCGTCCGTGATTGTGGTTATACTCCTTTTGATTGTTTTAATTTCACGCCTGAGATCATAATCAAGACTGGAGACTGTAACTAAAGCCATTTTAAAATAAATTCGACCGATACATGACGATTCGAGATCTTTTCTCATGTTACATAATCAGTACACTATAGAAACACGTCCTCTATTATATTGTGATAATGCCTTTCAGTCTCCGTTCTTTATTATTGCTCCTGTTTGGCACAGCATAACTTTCTTTTATATAGATTGTAATGTTTCTATATAATGTCAGTGATAGGAGCAGTACAATTGGAAGTTTACAGCTTGAAGGTTCCTTTTTGCTCACGATCACTGTTGTCAGTATTCACGAAAGAATTTGCCGTGTACAAGACAGATCTTATTTAGGGAAAAAGTGAACTTAAGAAAAATCACAATTTTGAACTGCTAGAAAACAAAAAGACAAAACTAGAAGAAAAAAAAATACACACTTGGGCGTTAGATATAATCTGAAATTCATGAAAGTGAGATACGTAATTCAGTTACGCTTTCGTTGCACTATGTTGCATATAATTGTATAGACAGTTTGGTGCAGTGGGCAGTGGTTTTAGTTTTGGACAAGGAAATAAGGGATCACCAGGAACCACAGGCATCATTTTTTGTCTCTGCGCATAAAAATAACAGTTTTATGGGAGATCCGGCGGGTACACAGACGCGGTGTGTGATAAGAGAACGAAACAAAAAGATGATAGATTAAAAGCAAATTAAAGAAGCTAATTTTGATCATATGTGCACCGCAAAATAAAGGCTAAGAAAGGTGCTTTATCATATTATCTGAAAAACAAAAGACTTTCTGTAAACGAGGGCCTTGAAATTATAGGGACTTTCGACACTACTAGTGCCAGTCCCTCCTGAGAGCTGACTTCCAAGATGGCGTCGCTTTGCTTTTTCTTAAGTTCTCCTACGATTTAACACCTTTTGCCGTTTTAGAATACAACAGTGGCGGTATTTCTGCTGTTTAACATTTCTCTACCTGCTGATCATGCTTAAAAGCGAAATAAGGAATGGCTTGAAATGAACACGAAGGGATCGGGATCCTTTGCAAGAAAATTTAGCAACTTGACTATAACTGTGAGTATTCCAGTTTCTTCCTGTTTCAATGGCCCAAAATGATTGTTAGTGTTTTGGGTACATGGATGATAGTAGACTGCATTCTAGCTGTCAGACTTTCATTAGCCTTTTAGTTGTGCGCTCTAGCTTAATTTAAAAAAGACCGATTTTTGGCTCTTCGACAGACACTGAGTTTAGGTCAGGAAAAGTTGAAAAGTTTTAGCCCTGCCCGGGACTGTCTGACAAAGATCATGGTTTTAGAAAGTAGTCCTGTGTTGTATTGTGTGTCGGGCCGCAGGAATTTTTTTTCGTTATCAAATTCCTCGTATGAATCTTTTTTAGGCCATAGCATGAATATTTTTTAGGATTACTTGGAGTGCATGAATTTTTTTTTCATTTAATTTTCCTTTGCGCGAATATTTTTGTACTTCGCCCGCTCTCCACCATAAGTTTTCTAATGGTTTGTCCCTTAACCAAAGCAATTTATCAATTAAGCTGAAATAAATACAACAAAGCCTGGCTGAATACAAATTTGGCCAAAACACCGATTTTATTTACCGTACAGTTCTAGGATTTATTTCGAATTGTTCGAATGTTCTGAGAAACGTATCGCTTCAATTTACGAGAATTTTTTACAGTTCGCTTGCATTCATACTATTCGCTTGCAAAAGTGTGGCTTTCTACACGAAATAGGATTCCTCCGCCTTTAGTTTTTCACCGCCCCTTTTCGACAGTCGAGTCTTCTTTAAGATATAAGCAGTATTCACTTTTCTCTTCTAGAGTGTAATTTTGAGTTTTGAATCGACGCGAGGTGGCTTGGGTCGGGTCTGTGAAACCGGTATGTACCGTTCCATTGAGCACGTGAAGTTTCCGAAATTTCAAACCGGAATTTTTGTTGAATAGAAAGCTCCCTAGGTGAACCGTCCTAAAGTTGAATTCCTAAGAACCATATACAAGTTCAGAAAAGAGAAAGGAAATTTCGTCGTCGCTTGTGTACTTCCTATGTAAAACGTGAAATTAGGCATTCTCACTTCGTAGTCGTGCAGTGACGGCAAAGAAATGTACAAAATTAAAAGAAAAGCGCGATGCGCGTGAAAAGTTGAGGTTTTGGACCTATTGCTTTTTTGACGTTCTCGTTGCTTTCGCCGTCATTGGTTCTTAAGATCCCTATTATCCACCGGACGTACTTGTACGGTTTCAAATACAAGATTTTACATCTGGTCCTCTTTACGTACTTTGTAGCTAGCTTTCGACAAGAACGTTCGTTGCAATGAACTGAATTATTCAAGAAGTTTTAACGGTCACTGAAAATTAATATTTTTATGGATTCAGAGTTTTACCAAGTTTTAAGGGTTTCGTATTTTTATTAAACTCGCTCACCAAACACTCTTCTAATCTGGGTAGGCTCACTGTTTTTCTCAGCGATGACGGGCAGATCTTCCTTCGGTTTCCCTCAAGCCTGTAAGTTAGTTTTGAGCAAATGGAACGTCCGATCCAACGTTGTTTTCCGGCAATTCAGCCGCAGTTTTGTGTCTGTTTGTACTGTTATGGGAAATTGCCCGCATTAGCCTCTCTCGCGCGCCAATACAAGCGCTCTTCAAGGCCGCCCGGGAATACGAAAATTGCCTGTTACAGAGGCAAGTGTCAGTTCTATTCCAATCTTATTTTCCCAGTGATCGATTGGCTGAAAAAGTAGATAATGGATTATGGGAGAAATGTCATACGAAGAAGAGATTATTACAGGGTCGCTTACGCGACGAATTCTAGCCCAGACGCTATGTTTTGTTTTTCTAGGAAAATGGGGAGGTAAATTTGTAAAAAAGTGCACCACATTCGAGTTGACTCGAGCAGTGCACATGCCCAAGTTCATATTTCAGCCGCTCAAAAGGGAGGAAATTTCAGTGCAATTACATGAGGTTATCAGCTCGTTTGACCAGAATGTAAAGATCAGAACCTCCGTTTTGATTGCTTTCAGAACGAAAGCAGTTCGATGTAGATAAGCACAATTAAATTAAAGAACCTTGTTCAGGTTATGACAACAATCTACTCCCACTTTTATTACTAATTTTCGTCGAGTATCATTTCTTATCCTGATTGGGCCAAACTAAAAAAGATCATTCAAATAACTGGTTGACTATTATGTTGTGGAAAGGATACAGAGAGGTTACAGGTATCTTATTTTCTGCTTTATTGCCCTGCTAAGCGGCAATACAGGTACCAGAAAAGTGATACGGTGGTAACAATGTTACTAGCAGATCAGTACGTCTCTTCGAGCTATAACTTAACCACAAAATGATGTCTAGAAATTTGTCTTCCAGGCAATATGAGGAAAGGTACTATATGCGAAGTTTATGTTTACGTTGTTAACAACAGTTTAAGTCAATTTGTTTATTTACGTTAGGAAATTTCTTGAGAGCAACATGGAGGATTTTGTTGACCTTACTACTTGTTTTACAACTGGTAGGAGGTAACCTTGAGGGAAACACTGTCAAAGGTCAGTATGATGCAATTTAAAATGGTTATAGATATTACCAATTAGTAGACATTACCACCTCAATATTTTGACAAGGATGACCTTCTATTATGAGGTTCATGGGAGACTGATCAACTGATTCTAAAACAACGAAGTCCTCACGCGTCACTTCATTTAAAACTACGGGAATGTATTAAATGGGTTAAAGCAATGCTAACCTGACCTTATGTGTGCTTGTAATTACCTTGGAAAACAACACTGACACTTAGCAGAACAGGAATTGTGCTCACCTTACCACCTTACCAAGTCCACCCCCCTCTCCAGTTGCTAGCAGGATATTTGATTAGACTTTTAAATCGATGATGCGTGTATGTGTTTGTGTGAGGGTTCTGCCCAAAGGGCAGGTCCTTCCTTCCATCTAAGGAGCGCCTCTTGACTGATATATGCCTTTAAGTACGTTTTCGTAACAAAAGTTACTTATAGCTCGATGACCAGGCATTGTTTAATCTTTTGGTGTTAACAACAGGCCAGCAAATGAAAAGATACTGAGTCAATAATTTGGTTCCAGCGATATTTATTCAGCATTGCAATTGTGAGCTGAAATGATATGTTACGGAATGTTTTTCTTTATTATAGCATCAAGGCATTTTCTTAGACACTTTGCCCTTGTTTTCAAGCAGGTAGTATTCAACAACTAGGAAAAAACAAAGCACGTTTCAAAAGCAAGTATGGTCGCCATGGTAAATATGATTTTACACAGTCGCGTTCTGAGCAACTATCTGTGCATCCAAGTTATCCGATGGACTCACCCACCCTTAACAAATCATCGAAATCAGGATACAAAGAGACGATTAATGGGAAAATTGGCTCGAGAGGCACGATTCCAAAACCATCGAGTGAAAGAGCTATTAGAAGGCTAACGAGTGATTTAGAGGGACTCCTACAGTTGCTTAAGTCGCGGAAAGACTCACCACAGCAGGATGAGGAGAATGGTATGAAGAAGGCCTCTTCAACAAATGGTAATCAATGCAAAAGAAGACTGTGATAATTGTGATACCTCGTTGTACCTATCTGTTTATTCTCCATGTCGATTCTGTACCTAAAGCTAACATTTCCTTTCACGGCACCACTACTAGTTGGAAACAAAGAAAACCTTTTCTTTAATGAAATTTTTTTTCTGCAGGAAAACATGCACATTTTTGAATCCGCACAGCAAATTCGAGGTTGTAAATTAACACCAAGGGAGATATACATTAACACTGAATTAGTGTTATCATAACACTTGCCGAGTGTTTCTTAAATGATACACCAATTCAGTGTATGAAAACACTAAAATGGTGTAATCAAGAAATGTGGCACACGT